ATTCATGAAATCTGTTGCATACGTCAATTACAACATTTCGTTAAACTTACAGCTTAACTTATGCTAGCTGAAAATCAGCTGTGAATTTCTGCGTTTCTCTGCGTTCTCTCTCAACTAATTGCAATTCGCATGCGACAGGAAAAGAAGTGCCTTAATGCGGAAAGGAATTCACCTCAAAATTCCGAATGAGTTTCAATACAAATTGAAACTCATACAAATTCCGAATGAGTTTCAATTCTCCTTTGTACAATTTTCTGATCGTGCGTAACTCCTACTCTCTCAATCTCGACAATTTTTGCTTGAACAAATCTATCAAGTCATTGAAATGCTGAGGACCAAGAGATGAAGTCTTCGGATATTCTTGAACGGTTTGAAGTCAAGACATTGCCATTTTATACTAGCAATTTCATCTTTGAAAAAAAAAGATCAAACAATAATCGCCGAAATTACTATCCGAAATTGAATGACAATCTTTTAGGGAATTCCCTAAAATTTAAAACTAATTAAACAAAATTTCTACAAAAAAACGATGGCAAATGATCAAGAATGTTCTCAAAAGTGATATCATTTAATCAATCATGACAGAAGAGGATTAGTTGTTATGGTGTTGAAGCGATGAAGCGTTTATTGTGAACTGAAGAATGCATAAAGGAAGCGATAAATACGATAAAGAACGATAGAGAACGTGATGAATAAAACACAAAAAAGTAATAATCATTGATCCTCCATCCCTCTTCCTTAATCGACATCACTCCAGTTGCATGAATAATTTCATCAACAATCACAATAACAACCGTCATCAAGTCATCATCTTAATACAGCAATTCAGTTAACAATACAGTAATAACAGTCACATTATTCAGCTACAATGTAAATTGAAGTGACATTCTTAAAAAGATTGCTGTAATCCACTGAACAAAGCAAAGCCAAAATATCAGTTCCAAAAAAAACTGGGCTTATAAGGTCTCACTAACAATTCCTGGCTATAACAGAGGACATCGTATTCGGCGATATCAAGAACAAGGCAAACTTCAAAACATTCATTATATGGAACAGGAACGAGGTAGTGCTTTTCTTATGACTTGCTAAATTTTTGCTAAATATGATTTAGCAAAATTGTTTTTCCAAGAATGGAATAGAAATTACAGAAAAGAAGAATGAATATTGCAACGAACAGTGATTTGTCAACACACTTCAAACAGACTTGAATTATAGCGGCAGAAATTCTATTAGGAAGCAAACGAAAATTGTGTTGAGCGAATAAGGCTAAATCAACATTCAAGAAGTTTGCGTTCGAATGTCAACTGCAGCAAAAAATTTGAAATGTAACGCTTCGAGCTTGAACATAAATAACACTGAATGATGAAAATAACGAGAGGAAAAAACCGACACTTTGGTAAGACTAAAAATGGCACCAGAACTGAGACACTGAATGGAAGGCAATTTCAAAATGTGATCGTTGTTCCAAAACATAAGAACTTGTGATGATAGGGCAAAGATGGTTGCGGTAAGTTAAGAAAATTCTTCACGAATATCCCACCGTCAATATCGGTCATCTGAGCGAAACACCAAACCAACTGACCACATGAACAGTATCCAGTGATCATCGGTCAGCCGTCGTTTATTGACACTCTTCAGTTGATGTACTGTCTGCTCACTCGCTTCATACACCTCCCAATGTGCACTTACCTAATCTCGTAATAGTTGACTGTCATCTTCTTGATCACTATTATCATCGCAATTACTAATAATATTATCAGAACTCTTCTAGTATTACATACATATCAATAATGTTCGGCAATCGAATTCGATAACGCAATAATAAACAATACATAATACCATCATTTCGTTAAGAACACCACCACACACTCCTTCCCATGCGATACTACTATCGTTCACATCAGGGGACAACGCTCTGATTCCTGCACATTCTCAGTCCACAAAATCTTCCATCGTTAACTCCGTTCTTCCGACCGTATTCATGGTTAGCGACTTCGATTACTTACCGCCAAGGTGCGCGCGTTAATTAAAGTGCACGTGCTATTTTAATTCTGCAACGACTACTCAGTGATATTGAAAACTTTAACAGAATATTAACTTCCATTACGGTGATATAGCACTAATGGGATGGAACAAATAAGGGGAAAGCAATTTTATTTCACCGCTGTCTTCTCAAATATTGAGATGCTCTAAAAGACAGTATGATTGCATCTACACTTGATANGAAACTATATATTTGAAGAATGACGAAAATAATTACTGACAGGTGAGTGCTTGATAATAGTATTGCTGCAACGAACTATTCAAGAAATTAGCTTAGAAGAATACGGCTCAAGAACATTATGAAATTTTTTTTGAGCGAGCAAAAATTATAGAGTTTCGGTATCAGTATTCATCCAACAGTAAGCACAACATCGGATTTCTATCAAAAAACAGCTGATCATCAGTTTCATAGACACGAATTTTTACTTATGCAGCAAAATGATTCAACAAGCGAAGATTTCAAGTCGGTTCAAAACAATTTGATATAACTATCAGATAGATGAGGGATTGAAATGAACATTATTGGATGATGCACTCATGAAATACTTCAGTATCAATATCCCATGCGGATCAGCATTATCACTTCACTACTGGTGAATTATGAGAGGCTGTTGTCACGATATCATCATTAATGAGACATTCATTTGGAGAACGACCCAATTTCAACAGAGTCATGTTAAACGAATGTGTCAATGTAATTATATTTACGTTATAAATTCTATCTGAAAGGAACTATACAACTCCTCCAGTTACCGACCGTTTTGGGAGGTTGAAATGCGGCACATAAAATGACCAGTAAGAGAAAAAACTCTCACTAATCCCATCTTGATAAATTTTGTCGAAATCATATCTTCTACAAACTTTTCAGCCATCACATACTGAAGTTTATGACCTTATCAACCGAAAATAATGAATTCGTTGCACAATAACGAATTCCCTTCAAATTTCTCGCCTTACAAATTCAACGATACATGCGACGATTGTCCAATGAAAGCATGACGCATGCTCCTATTCTCCTACAGCAACTACTTTATCGAAGTCAATTCATCGAATATAAACTAATAAAATCAAAGTTTCAAAACTGGACAAAAACCGATCTTAACGCAAATTCGACATTGGTTTCGATCCCCCGATATGTATTCCGCTCACTTCACGATATCTTTGAGTAATTTACCTTATGTTGGTTATTATCCTGTTCTTTTTATTTATTATTGTTATCGTTATTATTTTCGTGATCACTCTATTCACCTCTTTAATTTATTAGTTTAGTTAATGATCATACCATGTTCATAAATAAAACGAATATGATATAATATGGCATACACTGAAATGAATTATGAGTTTTAATTTCATTTAAAAAAAAANAAAAAAAAACTCTTCGACTTCATCTATCCGATTGTCGTTTAGTCCATCTATCATTCGGTTTGGCATTCAACTTCGACCAAAAAACAGCTCAATCAAAATTCTTCTACGAACCGACAATTCATGTATCTTTTGCTCCTCGTTTTTTTTCTCTCACACTCCAAAACCACTATTTTAAAATGCCGCAAAAGTCACCTTCAAAACATCGTCTATAACCGCACCACAATTCAATCAGCTTTCAATTCAAGTGACAACCCAACAAAGAACAGCTGTAATTCAGCGAGTATCTACATTTGTTGTAAAGAAGCGCAATCGTTTAGTTGATCATTCAACACACTCACCAAGTCGTGTGCTGCAGTGCAAAAGTGTGCTCGGCCATTAACTAAAGCGCAGATAAAGCTTGAAATTGAAGTGAGTGGGAACTTCGATTGCTCATTTCAGTATGAAATTAGTTTCGTGAATTGGAGAACGTTTTCATCAGCTGTGTCGAAAAGAAAGAATATTTCTCTCAGAAGTCCATTAAAGTTGCAATATGTCATTCCTTGAATATCATACCATCAACGACTTTTTAGGCAGTTATTGCTTCCATTTATTTGATAAGTTCACAAATTTGAAAAAAAAGAAAACTGGTAAAACACTCATTGTGACTATGCTTAAGTGAACAGATCAAGTATCGGTCAGTATCGCCAAGCGGACATAAAACTAATAGAAGTCGTGAGATGAAAATAAACTGACATGAAACATAGAAGAAACTTGCGTTAAATTACATTGGAAACAATGAGGAAA